AAGTAACTAAAGCTCCTGGGATTTTCCCCAGCTCTCAGAAAACTCTAAATGTACACATAGCCAAAGGAAGACGTGCTTGGGGCAGAGCCTGCTTGGCCCTAAATAACTTTAGCAGCGACCCCGGCTATAAATACTAAATTAAAAACACACACCATATTTTCCAGTTTCCAGTCTGACAAAGAACTAACAGCGCAAGATATGGGTCATTTTAGGCACGTGCTATTTAACTACAGCTAGTTCTCAACTTACAACAGCTCATTTAGTGACCAAAGTCACAACAGCATTGAAAAAAGTGACTTATGACCATTTTTCACTATTACGACAGTAATACGTGATCAGTCACGTGATCAAAATTGAGACCTTTGGCAACTGATTCATATTTATGACTGTCACAGCAAAAGGTCTCCTTTTGCGACCTTCTGACAAGCAAAATCAACAAGGAAGCCAGATTCACTTAATAAATGTGTTATTAAGTTAATGACTGCAGTGATTTACTTAACAACTTTGGCAAGTTAGGTGATAAAACGGGACAAAACTAACAAACGGCTCACTTAACAATAAAACTTTTGGACTCGATTGTGGCAATAGGTTTAGGGCTACCTGTATATCTTTCTCTCCCATTAAAGGTTTGTATGAACAGATGCCAAGACAAACAACTGGCTGGAAGGTTGGATGGCATTCTGGGTGTGTCTCTGTGCTAGCTGGGGAATTATGGAAGTTGAAGTCCACCCATCTTAAAGTTGCCAAGGTGGAGAAATACTCATCTACACATTTTATCCTCTGGAAAAACCTAGTTGGTTTGCCACTGATGAAAGAAATAATAGGACTCAGCGAAGAAGGTTTATTTATAATATTTAGCAGCTGCCCATCTTACCATAAGTTAATTCTGGGCAGCTTAGAGGCATAAAATATGAATCTACATGAAAGCATGAATAAAATTAAAGCTAAGGATTGAATTCGAGGACATGCGGGGAAGGACGGGGGGTGAAATGGCGGGAAGGTGGGATCTGCTTTTTCTCGATCAACCGCCTCTATTGTGCTGTTCCCCCATTGGGGCCCTAAGCCAACAGGCAGATCCAGATCTTTAGGGCCTTATGAAAAGATCGGAAGGTTGAGGGCGGGAAATGTTCCAGAGGACAGGAACAACAGCCAAGATGGAAGCATGGCTCAGCCCACTGATCTTCATTTCTGCTCTCCATAAACTGCAGGGAGCCTAAAACACAACCCGGAATCCAGCACAGCTTCCTGAAGAAAGCAGCCTCTAGTATTAGCTTCCCACCCCTCTCCCAAAAAACCAAGCCATTCTTTGAAGCTTTTAAGAACTTCTCAAAAGAAAATCTGAAAACCGCAGGCTCGCTTCCTCCCTCCGTCTTTTAGCCAAGAATCCTTCTGAGGCTCTGCAAAAAACGAGTTCCAAAAACCGTTTTATACTCCCCAATAAACTAGAATTTGGGATGCTGCAGCGTTACTCAGTCCAACAAAGACCGTCTAATTCCTGCATGCAGAGTCAAGCTGCATTCCTGAAGATGGGAAAGAATGAAACCTCTGTCTTTAGCAGTTGCAGAAGAAAAGGAAAAAAAAGAGCACTTGGCAGACGAGGAAAGGATTGGTATGTCCCCGTTTAGCCTGCATGCAGTTGTGCTTGTGTTCTTAACAGAGCTGCAAGTATCCCCTCGTTAGCGGCAGAATTAGATATAAAAAGAGAAAGTAGCAAAGGAAAAATGGATGTCGCAAAAGAGTAAATGGATAGCGTTTTTTTCTGAGTTTCACAATTCCTTAGCTGTGAACTTTTCAACTGGTAGGAGCCCTGTATAGGCTACAGTAATTCACCCAAGTCTGCAAATATGTAGAGAGAGGAACTTGCGTATTAGTATTATTGCCATCGTCTGCGGCGACGAGGGTGAGAAAGTTGCACTGTTGACCTACTGCAGCTATGTTAGAACTCCGTTTTTATGTCCTAACAGAAGAGGGGGAAATGAGTTTTCCCTTTTAAGGAAATGGGAACAGTTATTGCACAAACTCAGACCCAGGAACAGAAAGTCCACAGCGAGTCAAAAGCTTGAGTTTTCCATATGGCAATAAAGTTTTGTTTTTCTGATAATTCACAATTGTCAATGTTATACAAATGTGAACTTAAGCATTCTGACCAGGCTCCCAAATACGGCAAACCCTCTGTAGTTAAATAAGTGTTTCCTTTATTAGGAGTGCCAGCAGCCCAGGCAAAAAGTCTCTCTCTCACACACAGCAGGCTAAAAAGTCTGTCTGGCAGGGAGATGAATAGTTGTCTGCCACACTTATTCATCTCCGCCCCCCCCGCCCCCCATCTCCAGAGCTAGGGTGGGGCTTCACTAGCAGCAGTGGCTCTTCCGTCCCAAGGACCGGCCCATAGATTTCCACTGCTCTCCTCTCCTCTGCCTTCTGTGCATCTGCGCGTCAGGCCCTGGACCCAGCTGTTCCTCTCTTCCTCATCAGCCACCTACAGACCTGGGGGCTGTTGACTCTCCATCTGAGGGCTGATGGATGGCCCAGGCTCCACCTCTGTCGATCTCTGACAGCTCCATTCCTTCTTCCCTCTTGGAGCACTCAGATTGCCTCCTCATCTGATTTGGCCACAACTGATAGGCCACAATATTAAGTATATTCGCCATCTTCCTCAGAAATGAGTGCAATTTCTCAGGCTTGGCGTTACATATCCACACACCTCACTTTCCTATTCACCGTTCCTATCACTTAGGCTGTGAATGAAGAGAGGCCATGATGACAGATCACCGTTAGAAGCAACCAACCTGATCTCTGGGCATTCATGCCTACAGGTTCTATGCCCATGACGGGAATGGAGAAATGAAATTACATGTGTAGTCCTTGACTGACAACTTTTTGCTTAGTGATTGTTTGAAGTTATAAAGGCACTTCAAGTCAGGAGGACCTGTTCCAAGGTCACAAAACTGGAAAGGCTTAGATAATTTCACTTCAATCCAAAACTTCCAAAAGAGAGAAGCCCACATAGTGGAGAACAGCTCAAATAATTTCCCATGAACATCAACAGCTCCCCCAAAAGTCTTTATCTCGACCACCATTTTTCTCATCCCATGAACAACGGAGAGAAGCGGCACTGCGGATTTGCTGGGTTCATGTCCATTTAGTTAGAGTGGCGTTTTTTATTCTTTTGGTTGAAGTTCATGGAGTCAGCAGTGCAGTAATTGGAAAGGCTGCCTCCATCAATTAAGAGGCCTTTGACTTCCTGGGAAAATTCCATGCCTGCTGTCAAGAGAGCAATGACCCCACTGATGGAACAATTGTCCAACACTGTATTTCGATGTTATTAATCTGCTCCTTTCATGCTTCAACGTGCGAGATGAATAAGAGACACCCCAGCATCAGTTCAGCAAGGGAGAAAGGGAAGAACCAGCTGGACTTTGGGATAATCTGCTTGGAAAGTGACACGGTGGAAGAACAGAACGCAGCTGGTATCGGGATGAAAGCTCCCCAAATTCCTTTGGCACTGCAAAGACCGGGGAGGCTCGGGGAGGAAATGAGAGCCTTGCCAAGCCATAAGCTTCAAAATAAGCAACACAGCAAACAATATGAGAGTGTGGTTTCTACTGAAACCATTTGCACCCTGCTAAGAAACTATTAAGGTAGAGTTTGAGAGTGACATTAACCTGGAGCAGTTAATTGAGGTGTCGTTAAAATGATCCTAGCCTGTAAGTCTCCGGTGGGATCCACCGGTGTTTGCCATCCAAACACAGTCTCCTAAAGCAGGGGAATCCAACCTTGGCAACTTTAAAGCTTGGAGGACTTCAACTCCCAGAATTCCCCAGCCAGCTTTGCTGGCTGGGGAATTCTGGGAGTTGAAGTCCTCCAGGCTTAAAGTTGCCAAGGTTGCAAACCCCTGTCCTAAAGGAAAACTGCAAGCAGGCCCGGTTGAAGACCGTTTGCAGCATCCCACCATTATGTGTCCATGTTTTACAATTCAAAGAAATACTTAAAACTTTCCCAGGCAACCAGATCCAGGTAGTCCTTGACTTACAACCGTTCGAAGTTACAACGGCGCCGAAGAAAGTGACTTATGACCGTTTTTAATACTTGCAACCATTAATCATGCGATCAAAATTTGGAGGCTTGGCAACTGGCTCACATTTACGATGGTTGCAGTGGTCCAGGGTCATGTGATCTCCTTTTGCGACCTTCTGACGAGGGGGAAGCCAGATTCACTCAACAACCGTGCTACTAAGCAACTGTGTTACTAAACTTCACTGGACAACCGTGCCAAGAGAAGTCTTAAAATGGGACAAAACTCACTTAACAACTGTTAGCAACAGAAAATGTTGGGCTCAATTGTCATCGTAATCGAGGACTATCTGTGTAGTAAGAGGTTCCTAAGAACAAGTTGTGGCCCGCCAGCGGCCAGTGAAGCTGGTAGCAGATTCGGACAGTGAGGAGGTTGGGGAGGAACAAGGGCCAGACCTGGAGTCTGGGGAAGGCTCGGACGAGGGCTCTGTGTCGGAGACAGAGATGGGGTCAGGGCCACCTGACAGTTATCAGCTGCCTTCAGTCAGACATCAGTGAGGGAGAAGAACAGCTGGAGCCTGTTCTCAATGTGCGCATGCACAGAGCTGTTAGGATAAGGGAACAGCTAAGGAACAAGGGTCGACTCCGGAGTAAAGCCACAGGTGGACAGTGAGTGGCCCCTCCCATAGGGAATAAAAGAGGAGTGAAAGGGGAGTGGAGTTTCGCAGGAAACAATTAGTTCAATTCGTGAGGGTGAAGATCTGTTCCTGACTTCTTGCCATGTATTGTCTGCCACAGAGTGGTGTTTGGAAGATATCAGCCTGGCAGCTCTCCAAGCCTGATAAAGGTCTGTAGTTGTGAAATCTCGTGAAAGACTCTGCTGGAGAGGAATTCACTGTAAACTAAATAAAAGGGGTTTTATTGGGATGAGGAATTGGCTTCGTACTTTTGGAGAAGCCTAGGTCACAACAGAACAGCAAGTTCCTTACCTTTTCAAGTCAACTGTTGTGACGCTAAATACCACTCCTTTGAGCCACAGTATCATGAAGAGCCTCTGAGAGAAGGGGCAATTGCCTATGCTTTCGCCATCGCTGCCAGCCTGTGGAAAAAGAAGGGGGGGGGGGGAAGACATTAATAAAAAATAGACAAGCTGTGTCAAACTATCCTCCTTCGTCAGACAAGAAAGCCATCTTAACAAACAGCAGAGCCCTCACACTCTTGCCTCAAGCATCACAAGAGAAGGACCGTGCCCCATGTGTAGGAGACGTGGCGGAGCACGGGGGTGGAGTCAAAACAGGAATCAGCCTAGAACTTCTACATAGCCACAAATGAACTAGGCCCAACTCCTCTTGAATTCCCCTGACCCTTAGCCAAGACAGTGGTAACCATTAGTAGATTCTTGTGCAATGGCCTGATTAGTTGTTGTTGTTAGCTGCAAAGTCTTGTCCAGCCCATCGCGACACTGTGGACAACGTTCCTCCAGGCCTTCCTGTCCTCTACCATCCCTCGGAGTCCATTTAAGCTCACATCAACTGCTTCAGGGACTCCATCCAGCCACCTCATTCTCTGTCGTCCCCTTTTTTCTTCTATTGCACTCAATCTTTCTTCTCCAGTGAATCTGATTAGTAATAAATCATTTTAATTGGAATTTAATATGTGGTCCTGATGTTCATTCCTGACATCCTCCATGATACAATATTAGTTTATGAGATCGAATTTGAGTCGGTCACCGGTGACCGACCCAAATTCAGTCTTGCATCATTATCCGAGGACACCTTGTCCTGGGATATTTGCCTTCATTCGTAATGTTAGTTTGATTTATGTACAGTTTTTCCATCAAGAACCGGATATAGCACGCATCATGTTTGGTCATGATAAGTTAAACTGAGAGAGATAACAACTTGGGACCAATGGGAATTAAGTTATTGTACTAAAGACCCATAAAAGAATAAATAGATGAACTTGAGGAAGATGTAAGAAACACAACCTCACCTTGATGGAAAGACAGAAGTAACCTGACCAGACTTTCAAAACTGATTCCAGGAATGCTGCTTTATTGTTGTGAACAGATTCTTTAAAAATTGTCAGTTTCTCTCCACCCATCATTTACCAAATGAAATCAAAACTGGGCTATTTCCTCATTCTTCTTTCATTCTCCGTCCAGCGTTAATCAACTTTAGCAACTTTAAGACATATGGACTTCAATTCCCAGAATTCCCCAGCCAGCATGCTGACTGGGGAATTCTGGGAGCTGAAGTACAGGCAAGTTCCTAAGATTGAGAAACACTACTCTGGACAGTATAAATCTTTTCTCTTAAGTTGTTCCTTAACTGTTCATTCATACCTTCCCCAAGACCAGTTCCATAATCCTTTACAGTACCTGACGAGCTCTAAATACATAGTACAGAGACACGAGTTTGATAAGCTCGTGTGCTATGCTGATGCAACTCACTACACAATTAAATACCACAAATATGCACTCAGAAATTCGTCACCCTGTTGCACAGAGGCAGCCACTGCTACCACAAATTTCATATAAAAATGTTTACAAACATGGTGCGGTGTCACACCATCCCATGGTACAGTCATATGTTTCTGAAACAGAGTATTTAAACAGACGGCCTGCATTAAGTGCACCAATCATGCCTACCGTCCCTGTCCTATTGTTTCTTTTTATTTTTCTTATACGAATCCATCTCATGTATTCATAACTATGTTTGTTTCTTAAGCTTTCGCGGGTACTTACATGTATGGTATTCAGCTTTGTTCAGGTATTTTCCCAAGTCATTATAGTTGTGCTTTTAAAGTTGTAGCAACGTTTCGGCAGAATCTCATCTGCCATCATCAGGCTATGTTTATACTTATACCTAAACTAGGTTTATACTTATACCGGTTATCTTGTAAGCGATTGACAAATCAAATGAATGAATAAATTATATATGGCTATGTACCTGAATGGGAGACAGTTAATGCTTTAATCAGGTAAACCAGATTCTAATGTTCACATAGGAAATGATCAAACACTTCAGGCACAGCTCTCCTCCTTACAGGGACACAGCAGTTTGTTGTACAAAATACAGAAAGTCTAAAGCAGGGGTGTCAAACTCTATTTCACTGAGGGCCGCATCAGGGTTGTGTTTCAACACAGGGGGTGCGGTGTGGCCAGGGTGGGCGTGGCCAACTCTATTACACTCGTTTCGGGGGTGCCTGTGGTGACCGGAGCACTCTGCCTGCAAACACAGCCCCCTGCGCTCCGTTTCCGGCTGCGACGCCTCCTGCAACCCTCTGCCAGTGAAAAGAGAGTTCAGGAGGGCCACCCACGGCCCTCCCGAGCTCCGTTTTTGCTGGCAGAGGCACCATGGGCTGGTCCCTCACTGTTTCCAGGGTGGCCCCACAGGCCAGATCTAAGCACCCTGCGGGCCGGATCCAGTCCATGGGCCTTGAGTTTGACAGCCCTGCTCTAAAGTGTCAGTTTTCAGAAAAAAAACGAAGCAGCCAGATGTATTTGCTTGACAAATTCTGTACAATAGTTTAGAAGTGCCGAAGAAAGAAGTCAAGCCACAAACCACTGAGGAAGGGGAAAAAGTGGAAATGTTATAGGTAACCTCGTCAGAAGCCTACAGTAAACTCCTCTCTTCCCTGAAATAATACATTGTTTATTAAATAATTATTAAACCACATAAACAAATTTTAATGCTAGCTCAGCTGCTGGTAGAATGATCCAAGAGTTAATCCTTTATGAAAGCATCGACCTGGCACGTATCACAGAGATTTGAATAAGAGAGTCAATCGTTCTGTCTGCCAGTTCAGAAACCACAAGCTCCATCCAACAGTCTGCCAATATTTTAGTGACTGCTTCTGTTATTTATGTGGCTGGGATAAAAGAAAGATAATATTAGTGTACCATCTACCCATCACACAACAGTCTCTCTTCCTGAACTAGCCAGGGTGATTTCTGATGGACTACTTTAAAATCTACATGCTGGATTCTCTCCCCTTCACACCAATGTTTTACGGATGTCAAATGTTCTGAAGAATCCAAAATGTGCGTGAAACAAAAACAAATTAAGTAGCAAATTTTCTACATAGTTTAGAAGCAATGCACCACTGATCGAAAAACACGTCCTCTGCTTGTCTTCCAGTCTGAAGTAAAGCGGCCAGAAGAACCTCAAAAGGGAGTTTGTAGGAGGCACAATATTTCAGCCATGCAGCTTCAGAAAGAAAGTAAGCTGTTCCACCCCACCCTGAGAATTAAGGTGAATATGAAAGCTCAAAGAAGCAGGGATGGCTGAAACTCCATGGTGAAATGAGTCATCCGGGGCCCATTAACAACCAAGGACATTTCTTTTCTTAGTGATCTAGTTCAAGACTTGGCAACAGCTGGTATCTGATCACACAGGGTAGAGAGGAGGGTCAGAAGGGGAAGACAATGATAGCATAGGAAATGTAGAAAGTCAGCATCCACTTCTCCTAGAAGAATGAAATATTTTGAGGAATATTAAAAAAAAAAAAGGCAGAATATGATATTTCCCGAAACGAGAAATGGAGAAACATGTTTTTTTAGAGGCAGGAAGCAGACTCCATCTTAATAGCCTGCAGCAGATATTTTGTGCCCATTAAGAAAGACTGGGCCAGCCTATCTACAAAAGACTGTCAGTTCCAAGATGGTGGGATTATCCTTCAGGAAAAAAAAACCATTAAGCCATAATAGGAATTGCTCAACACCCTTTCAGAACACAAGCTCCTTCACTGTATCACCCTCGGAAACTTCAACCAACACTGCTATCAGATAAACACCTAAGATTTGTACTTTGCCTATAGAGCCAGCTATGACCCCTACATAACCCCTACATGTCCCCATGGGAGTCTAACAACAGCCAATAGAATACATGTTCTTGCACAGGAACAGGAAGCTCAAGTGCAAAGCTCAAGAGAAGGTACAACACACACCCCACTCTCAACTCAGTGTGGTCAGCTGCACCAGAACTCTGCTTCATCATTAAACCATCTTTCCAATCAGCCTCCATGTGTCTTTCTCCCAACTTGGAACTGAACCAGATGGATATTTCTTCCCACAGTGGTTTATAGAATTGGGGCAAGTATAGCAATAAATGTGGCACAAATGGCTAAGAGCTAAAAACGGGGAGACCCAAATTTTAGTCCTAACTTGACTCAAAAGCACACTGGGTGGCTAAGTGGAATTAGAATATAAAATAGAATATTTTCTTTATTGGCCAAGTGTGATTGGACACACAAGGAATTTCCTCCGGCGCATAAGCTCTCTCAAAATCTCTCTTAACCCAACCTAGGGGTTTTGTGTGGGGATGAAATGAAGTGGGATACCCATGCACTCTTAAGCTCTCAAGAGATGTAATAACTATCTAGGATTAATTCTTTCAAGAAGAAAAAAAAGCATACAGTCTAGAGCTGTAATTGGACTGGCCCACACTGTTTATATTCCATATTCTTGCACTAAAAACAGTTTTCAAGAACAAAAATAAATCAATGCAGGCATCTGCTTTTTATTTAACTTACAAGGCAATGTTTCAGAAGGAAGTGGAAATGTCCCTTTTACCAAAACAATTCCCTGAATCCAAAATACAACCCCAAACTAATTCCGGATATAGTGTCTCCAGGAAGCCACTGTAGTTCTATACACCCTGTCTGAAAAACTTTTTTTTTCCTTATTTGTATTCTTTGCTTCAAATTGTCTTTTAAGAGCCTGTGCAAAAGAGGCTATGAGAATGACAACAAAATATTGGCTTCGGTGCTCAAAAAGGACCCAGCCATGCAACTTCTCGAGTTTGTAATTAATTTGTACAGAATTCTGTATATACGTAGCCAAGTACAACTGTGACCACCATATCAGGCTTATTTGCGTCCATCTTTAAGAAGCAATTTGTAAAGCTAATTATCTTTTTCCTTAGTGGGATTCGATCAGATTAAACAAACCACACCAGTTGAGGCAGCCTGAGAAATACTGAAGGCAGTTTTTGAAAGGTCTTAAAGAGGAGGATTGACTTAAGTTTTGCAAAAGAAAAGCAATATTTGGATTCAAATACATCAAAAATTAGGAAACAAGTACAAGATTGAATGATA